GCCCTGCAAGGACAGGAATTGTGAATTAATAACTGAGCAGCAACCTGTGCCTGCCTGCTGAGTTTTCATTTTACTGCACACAAGACTTTCCTTGTTGGAAATGCAGCTTCGAAAAAAAAAAAACCAAAAAAACCCCCAAAACCCTTACTGGCCACTTCTCCACCAGGTTTTACCTGCCTGAGGGAAGAAATCACACAAATCACCCACACAAGAAAAAAGAATTCTTCAATTATTCTACAGGCATCCCTCCCAGTTTTACATGAGGATGGCAAATTTCCCCCAGACAAACCCCTTGGTCATCACTGACCCCATCAACTTTCCTGGGAAGCAAAAGGCACCTTCTGGATGAAAACAGGGATTTGAGGAGAAGGAAATGCTGTTCCAGCAAAGCCTCCAGCCTTCCCTGCTTGCTTTGGAGCTCCTGGTGATTTACATCTGGCTGATTTCCACCCAGCTTTGTGCCAAGAAACTGGAGGAATAAAGAAAAGGTAGAAGGAAAAGTCAGCTTTTCCCTGGAGACACTCTGCAGCCGAGTTGGCTGCTCTGAAGCCAGCACAAACCAAGTCAGCATTTTCCCCCCACTGCAGCCTCCAAACCTGGTTTTCCTTCCCCAGAAGCAGGAAAAAAAAAGGTGCATCCCATTCCATGCTGGATGCAGCAGCACTGCCCTTCTCCTACAGAAATAAATCCACTTACTGCTCTCCCCACCCCTCTGCTGCTCCCTTAAAAAGTTCCAGCTTGGGAAAAAAGGCAGGTAAATATTGGATCTTTTATCCATGGAAGAGAAAGGAGCTGGGAAGGGTTTGGAGAAGCTGAGGGAGCTGGGAAGGGGCTGAGCCTGGAGGCAAGGAGGCTCGGGGGGACCTTGTGCCTCTGCACAAGTCCCTGACAAAAGGGGATGTTGGTTTTCTTAGATTTTATAGAGATGGGGTAATTGAGAAGTGTTTTACAAGATTTTATTCTATTATCAATCTTAATAAAACACATTCTAATTCTCTGTAACATCTAATCTTTTTACAAAACCCTATTTTAAAACTTATTTCTAATTCAATCTTTCTCTCAACAATAAAATCTCTATTCTATAGCCTTCCTAAATCAACACACCTCATCTCAATATTTATATAGAAATATACAAAAGTATATAAACTTCTTAACAAATTTTACAAATTCTTCACAAAGAAAAAATGTGAATTCTTCACAAAATTCTTCATAAATCCATTTCCCACACGGGGACAGCTGGGGGGTCGGGCTGTGCTCCAGGGAACAGGGACAGGAGGAGAGGGAACGGCCTCAGGCTGGGCCAGGGGAGGGTCTGGGGGGATTTTTTGGGAAAAATCCTTCATGGAAAGGGTGGTCAGGCACTGGAAATGCCCAGGGCAGGGCAGGGTTGGAGTCCCCATTCCTGGAGGGATTTAAAACCCTGTGGATGTGGCACTTGGGGACGTGGGTGGCCTTCCAGTGCGGGGAATGGTTGGACTTGATGAGCTCAGAGGACTTTTCCAACTAAAATGATTCCATAATCCTGGGTTTTTTGGGTTGGTTTTTTTTTTTGTTGTTGTTTTGTTTTGTTTTGTTTTGTTTTTTTTAATTAGAGAAAACAGACTGGAACAGACTTGTCCAGAACTGTGCTCAGCTTCCACGGGATGGGCCAATACTGAACTGCAGCGGTGGCACCAGGAATTCCCTCCCTCCATCCCATAAACAGATCACAATCCCTTCAAACAAGAGCTCCAGGATCCTGGCAGGGAGATGCACCAGGCAAGGGGAGAAGAAGCTGGCACGGGAATTTTAAAGGGGATTGGATTTGATGGAAGGCAGCTGGAATGAAGCTGGGATCAATAAAGCTGAAGGGACGTCCCTGTGGGTGACCACAGTGACAGAGTCACTTCCACAAGCACAAAATTTCCTTAAATTTCAGGAAAAGCCACACAGGGATCCAAGAGGGGCAATTAACACCTAATTAGAAGGAACTAACAATGAGCAAACTCCTGAAATGGATCCTGCAGGGAGGGAACTGCAGGGAGGATTTCTCTGGGCTAACTGGAGAGGCAAAAACATCCTCAGGATCCCACTCTGACCTGAGAGCTTCCCAGGAGAATTCCACAGAGCTGGAAATCATCAGGCACCAGAAGAATTCCCAAATCCAAGTCTCAGCTCAGGGGGAGCTGGATCCAGGAGCACTGAGGGTGGATCTGGAGTCGTTCTGGTGGCCACACACCCGTCCCTGAGCTGCAGGCGCAGATTTAATGTTTGCATCACCCCAAGCTCCCTCCCAGAAAAGTTGGTTTCCATGGAGATGGGAAATTCTGGTGGAATCGAGTGGTTCGTGTACAAATCACCAACTTCTCAAACCAGCCAGAAATTTCAAGTGTGTTTTCAGAGAAATATCAGGAGGAGAAAATACAACCTTTGCTTTTTTTCCAGGTGTGCTGGCAACGGTTCCTTTTCTCTTTGGGAGGGTTCAGGAAGTGCTGAAACTCTTGTGAAAGAGTTTCCCGTGGTTGTGAAACCACAGGACTGAGTGTGACCCCAAACCTGTGCTAGACCTGACACCAAGCCCAAGATTTGAGTGTATTTTGGGCCTCACCACGTGATTTACAAGAAAGCAGGTCTGTTAAAAGCAGATTGCTTTGACATATTCAAATACTTCTCCAATTTAGTCTTCAGGGGGAAAAAAAAAAGTATTATTTTAAGACGTGGCCTTTTCCCTCAAGGGGAGTTTGGGTTAGGTTTTTGTAGATTTTAGTAAAATGTTTTTTTCTCTTGCAGAAACCTCCACAGTCATTCAGAAACTGCCTCAAAGCACCTCAGCAACGAAGCCCCAAAGGGACAAACATCCATCTCCTCCTGCTGGAAAACCCTTGGGATGAGATGTTTGCACATAAAACAGAGGAGGCCAAGAGCTGAGCTTTGGCAAGGCCTTATTCAGAAAAAAAAATAAAAAATCTAGAATTATGTCAAAGTCTTGATTTTAAACAAGATAAAAGCGTTTTGTGGCAGGAAGGAGAAAGTGTCAAAGGAAGTATTTCAAGCTTCAAATAAATGAAGCTTAAATTTAGCTTTGGCATGGAGCAGGTCCAGTTCTGGAGGCAGATTCCACATCCTCTCCACTGCCAGGACCTTTCCCTGCCTTCAAAAGATGCTGAATGGGCCACAGAGACTGAGGCAGAAGATGCTGAGCTCAGCTCAAACTCCAGCCTAACACTGACTTTAGGAAGGTTGAAACTGAGAACTGGTTTAATCAACACTCCACACCGGGATGCTCCAAGAAAAATCAGGCCTGGGAGAGGCTTCCCACAAACAAACTGAACCTTGAACTGCTGAAATACTTCCAAAATCCTGCTCAGGATCCCAGCAGGATCTCTCCATGGCCTGCCAGGAGCAGAACTCAGTGGGATTTTTGCTGTTCTGCTCCCCAAGCCTCTCCAACACCAAGGAAAACTGAGTTTTCTCCAGTGTGGGGTTGTTTTGCAGAGTTCCTTCCAAGCCCACTGGAAATACTCAGGGATGCAATTCCTGATCCCACTTGCACCAGGTTTTTATTTTCAACCCAACTGCTTGAAATTCCAGCCTGGGCAAGCTGGGCTTGAACTCTAAACCAGACTCAGAGCCCACAGAAAGGACAGTGCCAGTGGAAATGAGGCAGCTCTGTGCTCAACTTTAATTCCTCAATAATTGGCTTTTGTGCTCCAAATCCAAACTCCCAGCAGGAACTGCCTCCCACCCCAGTGTTTTCTGCTCCAATCACACCAGCAATAAAGTCTCCCAAAGATATTTTGGGGGTGATTTGTCCCCTGAAGAAGATAGAATGACTGCTTTCTCATAAAATTTGGGTGGGAAGGGGTCTTAAAACCATTCAGTGCCACCCCTACCATGGCAGGGACACCTTCCACTGTCCCAAGCTGCTCCAGCCCCAGTGTCCAACCTGGTCTGAAATAATTCCAGGGATCCTGGGGCAGCCACAGCCAACCTGTGCCAAGGTTTCACCACCCTCACAGGGAAGAATTTCTTCCTAAGGTTTGATCTAAACTTACCCTCTCCAGTTTTAGGCCATTCCCCAGTTGTTTGCTCCAGAATTCTTTGCTACTTGAGCCAGCAGCTCCAGCAGTTCTGAGCCTTCCTGGTTCTTATCTGCCAATCCTCAAAGAAAAGAGCTTTAGAACAAACCTCCAAACCCACTGGGATTTCTCCAGCACAGGTGGAGGAAATGAAAGCCAACTGAATGTGGAAATTAAGCTCGAGATTAGTGCAATTCCTTTAAGCTAAAGTAACACAGAGGAAAATCTTGCTTTGCCTTCAGTGCAGATTTCCCACCACCCAATCTGAAGGAATCCACCAGGAGGTTTTTTTCAGGGTGGATCATTCCTGAGGCACCTGGGGATTTTTCTTCCTTTGAAAATACTATTAAAAATACACTTCTTTCAAGAACAAGTGAAATTCTGATTCTCAGGTGCAGCAGGGAAAGCACAGAGCAGCTCACAAGCACTGGAAAATCAGGATGAACACCAAGCCTGTGGAAGGGGCTTGCACCCGAAATTCTTCTCTAAGTGCTGAGCCAACACCCACACCTTGGAAAGGCTCGTTTGGAAACCCATCTGCAGTCCTGCTCCTTTGATTTTGGGTCATGTTTACAACAGCTCTCCATGGCCTGCCAGGAACAAAATCCAGTGGGATTTTTCCTTTCCTGCTCCCCAAGCACCTCTAAACTCCATTTTGCTCCTTCCAATCCTACATGGAAATATTCTGGAGCTGTGACTTTTACAGATCCTTCCCAAACCCCAGAGGATGGGATTTGTTCCCTTCTCTCCCTGCCAGAACTTCCAGAGGGATCAGATTTGCTTTCCCCCTCCTTGCCTTTGTTCAAAGTGTTTTAAAGGAGCAGCTCAGGCAGGATTTACACACAATCTCCTCGGGTTTTTAGCACAAATTCCAAACCTGAAATACAGACCTGGTGAAGTTACAACAACCATAATTTCCCTTTTTTTTTTTTTTTCCTCTCACACCAAAGCAGAAAAACCCCAAGTGATTTAGGAACAAGCACCCTGGTTACACACAGCTGAAGTTTATAAAAGTTTCCTTCTTTCCAGGTCACCTGCCACATAAAACCACCACAAAGCCACACAGCAGGAAACTGCAGCTCAGGGTTGCAACAGGAAAAGGTGCAGGAGCTTCCTGCATGCCAGGGTTTTGTACAGAAATTCCTCCAGCAATCCAACGTGCCACTGTCACAGCCATTAAATCAATTATCCTCTTCATCCTTGCAAAGGAATGAGGGCAATGGGGCACTGTGGCTTCCCCAGTGCATCTCATAAACACATCCAACATCCCAGGGCTGCTTGGGAACAGCCAGGCTGCACCAGTGGGTTTGGCCCTCATTTTTGTCCAGCACACGTGGCTGTTTCTATTTAAAGAGTTCCTTCATAAATCTGAGTTTATCACTCAGCTTTCTGCCAAGTCAGGTGGGATTGCACTGTACGGATCAGTCCCGAGAAAATACAAATACACCATTTCCAAGGCTGGCTCAGTTCAAGTGGTTTCCATCAAGTCATTCACCTTGGAAAAGAGGAATCACAGGTTGTTTTGGGTTGGAATGGACCTTCAAACCATCCAGTTCCACCTGCAGGGACACCTTCCACTATTCCGGGCTGCTCCAAGTTCAACCCAGCCTGGCCAACTCTGCTTAGAATGGAAATGAAAAAACTGACACAGGGGCAGTTAATCACCAAACCACCTGCAAAAAAGTTCATTTAATCACCAAATCACCTGCAAAAAAGTTCATTTCTCAGCCTAGGAAGTTCAGGAAATCAGGCTGGTGCTTCCCTTAATCCCAGCAATTCCTCCTGATCCAGCTCCCACCATCAGCCTTTGCACCGAGAACGACACTGGCCTGCAAAAAAGCCATTGTCAGTCTTGAGCTTCCCAGGGGGTTTTGGCCTTTCCCAAGGGATTCATTGCACAGGATTTTCCTGCAAGTTGAAGGTCTAAAGACACATTGTGTTGCAGAGGAGGACATGAGAGAGCCAGGCTGGAGTGAACAATGATCCCCACAGGAGTTCCCTGCGCGGGGGAAAGGCCGAGGAGGGAGCCAGCAGAGCCCTGGGAGCTTTTTCTGCATTTGGGAATTTTTGAGCTCGCCAGCACCAACAACCCACGGCCAGGCAGAGCTGGGGCAACAGCACAGCCAGGAGTGCAGGCTGCCCGAACTCCAGCAGAGCTGCCATGCTGAAGGCAGGCAGGGAAAATACTGATTTTTTAATATTTTTAACAGTTTGGAAACTTTGGAGAGATCCTCCTTGGCTCAGCAGCTGCACCAGAAAGAAAAGGAGGAGATCCAGGCTGCTCTCAGGCATTTCTCTGACTGTGGGAAATCTCTGATTACAGGAAGGCAGGGATTAAAATTGTGGAATGCTTGGGGTGGGAAGGGATCTTAAAGATCACCCACATTTACCCCCTGCCATGGCAGGGACACCTCCCACCATCCCAGGCTGCTCCAAGCCCCATCCAGCCTGGCCTGGGACATTCCAGGGATCCAGGGGCAGCCCCAGCTGCTCTGGGAATTCCATCCCAGGGCCTCCCCATCCTCCCAGCCAGGAATTCCCCCTCAATAGCTGCTCTAAACTCCCCTCTCTCAGCTTTCCCCCTCATCCTGTCCCTCCAGGCCCTTCCAAACCCCTCTCCCTCCTTTTATAAGCCCCCTTAAAGCACTGGAAGGGTTCATTAAAGCCACTTTGGCACAGGTGGCAGCAGCACAAGCAGAGAAAAGACCAAGGGAATATTTTTATAACAGCAGCAGCAGAGCAGAGGGTGCTGGTGGAACACAGGAACACAAAACATGAATTCCTGCTCGCCGTGGCCAGGATTCCTCCAAAACAACCCCCAAGGTGTGGAGTGGGAGGGCTGCACAAAGATTGGGATGTTTCCCTGGGAGAGTTTGGAAGGTGCTCTCACTGCTGGAAGCTCTTGGGAGCTCAATTCCCTACCCAGAAGCACCAAACCCACTTGGAGAGGGAAAGCAGGACACAGGGGTGAGTTGGCATCTGCTGGCATCGGGAGCAAATCCCAATCCAAATTTTGTTCCAGCACATCTGCTCAGGCTGAATGATCACTGCCCTCCCAACTCCCTAAACTCGTGTGGAAGGAGAGCCCAGGGGAGTTGTACCAATCAGCCATCCCTCAATTAATGTCCTCCTATTTCGCAGAGCTGTGGCAAGGAAAACTCACCTGGAGGTTTCCCACGGGAATAAAAATACCTGGGGTTTGTTATGTGGATCAAAAAGAAAAAAATACCAGCAGTCAGTTTAAAATTGAAGTTGAGCTTTGGGTTCAGGCCTGGAATCCACCCCACACTGTCAGGATAAATGGTGCTGTCAGGACACTGCAATTCCCAGCTTTTGGGTTGTTTGGAGTGAAGGCAGAGCTTTCTCATAATTAGTTAAATTCAGCTGAAACACAAGATTCCTTGACATCCTCTCTTTGAATCACCATTATAGAAGAGACAAAGGAACACCACTGCAACTGCACTAAAAACTAATTTACAGTTTAGTCGTTAGCAGGTGCAGCTGCTTGAAAAGTGGGATTTTGTCACCGAGTTTGAAGTGTCTCCTGCTTCAGAGAGGAGCTGATAAAAACCCCCTCCGAGTTTTCCCCAGCACAGAACAAAAAGCCTGGAGCCGACCTCTGCCAGATGCTCTGAATTCCAGGTGACCTCCGGCAGAGCCAGGCAGCCTTTCAAAGACACACATTTACCACAGCCTTCTTTAATAAATCAGAATTAAGCAGCCTTGACACACTTGAAGCCGTTTTGGAGGACAATATTACTAATCCACAAATAATAAAAAATAAATCCTAATTAACCAGTGTGCTGCTGCAAAGAACCAGGATGCTGCAACAATCAAGGAAGTTCAAATAAAGGCAGCTTGGAATTACAGAACCAGCACACCGCTCCCAGCAATTTTCCCTTGTGCTGCCACAGTGACTTATTTTCCTCCCCTTTACTCATCTCTGCCATTTGACAATTTTAGCAGAGATGTGGGGCTTGGAAAAAAGAAAAAAAAAAAGAAAAAAAAAGTGGGAACATTCCTTCCTTGAGATAAATTCAAAGGGTAATGAGAAAAGTGGTTTTCTCCCTTTATCCCGAGCTGCTCCCACCCTAAACCTACACAAATTTCCAGCAGCAACCAGAGTTCAGCAAGCCACAGTTTTTTGGGATAGAGCTGATCCATACACAAAAATGGGCCAGGATTCTCCTCTTGGCCACCCTGGCAGCCCTAGGTGGGATTCAAACCCCTGATCCATACAGAAACTCCATTTCCTGTTACTCTTCCCTGCAATTCCACCTCCATCCTTCAGGAACTTCCCAAACCAAGCTCAGCAATGTCCCTGCCCAGTGGGATTAAGAAAAAAAACAAAACAGGGATTTCAGGAGGGGCAGGGCTGGCTGGAGGGCGCAGCCCAGCAAAAGGGATGGGGCAGGAATTTGGATCCAAAACCTCCCTCTTCTGGCTCACAGGCTAAATTTAGCCCAGCGTGGCAATGACCTAAAAACCAGCTGATGTGGGTTTCTGTAACGCCTGTGGCAGCTCCAGCCACTTCCTGAGAGAGGGATGTGCACGTGGCAAAGTCCAGGAGACCCAAAATGGGAAATGTGGCCATTATTTCACACCTGCACCCAAAGGATCTGCTTGAGCCACGTGGTTCCTGCTTCTGACCCGTCCTAAATCCTGAAAGAATTAGGGGGGAGTTCCCCCTTTCAGGGTTTTTTTTTTTGCTGTTTGAAGCACCTTGTAAAATATCAAAGCCTTCAGCATCACAGCCCCGTCCAGCTTTTCCCGGGATGATCAGCAGGACATTCCCAGCTGCCCCTGGAAATAAAACCAAACCTGCAGAGGATTAAGGAGTTCACCTAGCCCAGGTTTCACCTCTGGTGCTTTCCAAGTCTGGAGAGAACTGGCAAGAGAAACTCACACACAGAATATCATGAAATGCTTTAATGACACTGAACTTTGCGTGGCACCAGAGAAATCTGTGACTCTGGAAGCCACCAAGACCAACAGAGGACAATTTAAAGGACTCAGTGGCTACTGGGCTGAAAAAAACCTGCACAACTCTTTAAAAAAACCCCATTAATGCATCTCCTGAGCCTGCAGGATCCTGTTATGTGCCAGCCTCACTGAGCAGGAAGCCCCTGCAAAAAGCTGAAGTCCAAAAAGAAGGAAACTACAGCAAATTCAACATTTATCAGCACAGGACTAAAATTTGCCTCTAACAAGACAGAGATGATGGTTCAGACTCAAAGCAACCAGTTAATATGGAATTTTGGGGTGGAAAGGACCTTAAAGATCATCTGATTCCCTCACCTTCCCCAGACCAGGTTTGGTGTGTTAAAGTTTGCTGTGTTATAACATAAACTCTTCTCACACATAGTTCCCACTTATCCAACCAACTCCAGAAAATCAAAAAAAAACCAAACTAATGGGAAAAAAGCCCCAAAGCCACGTTGAGAAGAGGCACCAGCAGCACCAGGGCCCTCTCAAGACACTCTGCCACAACAGAATCCCTGCACAAAACCCACAAACCCTTTTCTTCCTACATTTAAACAGGTGGAACAGGCAAATCTGCCACAACAGAATCCCTGCACAAAACCCACAAACCCTTTTCTTCCTACATTTAAACAGGTGGAACAGGCAAATCTTTGCTTACCCCTCAGTCTTTTCCAATACATGCTGCTGAAGTGAGGAAAATTTCTGATTTTTTTTTTCCCAGAGAACTGAAATTTAGAAAGCTCTGGCAGTTTGGGACCACACCTGAGGAGCTGCAGGGATTGTTGTGATGCAGCTGAGGGAGAGCAGCTCGAAATCCCAGCAGGAGGATCTGACCCTCTGGGACACACCAGAAAGCCAAACACATCCCCTCTCCTCCACAATCTATTCTAAAAGTGTAAAATTTACTTTAGCACCAGGATTAAACACCGGGCTTTGCAGTGGCTCAGCAAATTTCCTGATTTCAGAGCAAAAGCAAAGTTGTGGCAAACCTTGAAATGCAAAATGGGGCCCTCCCAGGGATGAAAGGGATCCACCAGGGGCACATTATTGCTCAGCAGCTCACTTTTAGCACATTATTGCTCAGCAGCTCACTTTTAGCACATTATTGCTCAGCAGCTCACTTTTAGCACATTATTGCTCAGCAGCTCACTTTTAGGGGATCTTTTGTTTCATCTGGCAGGGCTCAAGTCTCGATTTTACTTCAAGCAGTGACCAGTGACTCAAGCAGGGTTCACAGTTTAACGGTGAATTTGCTCAAGCCACGTGGGAATATTCCATCAGTCCTGCCAAACTGGGGGTTTGAGACACTTGTCACCCCTGTCACGGGTGTTTTGGGTTTTCTCCACGTGCAGAACACTCTGGTTTTGCCTCCTGCCCAGTCTGCAGAAGGTGGTGATTTTCTGGGGAATTTTTGCTCCAAACCGGGCAAGCATTTAAAATTATCTTTTCATGGCAACACCAAACAAAACACGGCATAAACCATGAAGTAATGAACCCAGTGGATTTCTCAGCAGTTCTGAGCATGACAAAATCTGTTTATATCCAAGACCCTGGAGCTTTCCAGGAGTTGAAAAAAGCTTGGAGCAGGGTGAGTTAACACCTCCTCACATACCTTCCCTTTCAAGGAACACAGGCTCTGGCTCTGACTTACCGGGATCTGATTTCTGACATCCCAACTTTTCAACCCAGCCCTGTGTCCCCCCCCTTCTTCAAAGCACATTCTCCTGTTGGGATCTGAGCTTTCTCCAATATCCAGGCACGGATTCCTCCCCTGAGCCAGGAGTATTAAGTTACCAACGATGTTAAACAAAGCACTGATCACTCAGCTTCCTTATTTCTACTGCTTCCCTCAATCCAACACGCACACAGCCTCAAAAAGAAAGAAATAAACAGTGGGAAACAAAAAGTAGGAGGTGCCTTCAGGAGCAGCAAGGAATAAATCAGTGAGACCACGCTGAGTCACCTCAGAGATCCGACATTCCCAGGATAACTGCGGCACTCCTGGAAGGATTCTTCCTTTCTTTCAGCCCTGATAACTCTGGGATTGAGGATTCCCAAGCAAGGCCATTCCCAAAACTAGTGAAAATCAGCCCCTGACTGATTTGTTCTGTTTTTTACCCAAACAAAGCCCCTGCAGAGGTCTGACACTCCCAGGATAACTGCTGCACTCCTGGAACGACTGTTCCTTTATTTCAGCCTTGTTAACTTTAGGATCGAGGATTCCCAAGCAAGGCCATTCCCAAAACTAGCAAAAATCAGCCCCAATTGTCTTTTTATCCAAACAAAGGCCCTGAAGAGATCTGACATCCC